TATGAAAAATTCATCATGTAGAATTTATTCATCAAATAAAAAATATAATTTCTATCTTCTAGGTATTAGATCCAACTAAACGTGGATTTCTTTCTAAGGAAGAACTGATCAAGTATATGACTGAAGAAGGTAAGAATTATTTAATACATATCTTGTAACAGTGACTTATTTAAGTGGTTAACAATTATGCAAAAATTCTAGGGCAGCCGTGGGCAAACTACGGCCCGCGGGCTGGATCCGGCCTGTTTGAAATGAATAAAACTAAAAAAAAAAAAGACCGTACCCTTTTATGTAATGATGTTTACTTTGAATTTATATTAGTTCACACAAACACTCCATCCATGCTTTTGTTCCGGCCCTCCGGTCCAGTTTAAGAACCCATTGTGGCCCTCGAGTCAAAAAGTTTGCCCACCCCTGTTCTAGGGGATACTTTAAAATCAGTCATTCTGGTTAAAAAGTTATTTACTATTCCTATTATTTTGGTATTGGGATGGTTTCTGTTTAGTAGTAGGTAAGAGGATAAGGGTATGTAGTAAGGGGAGATGGATTTTTGCCTTTATAGGACTTCATTAAAGTATAATGATACTTCTATAAATTGAAGGCATTCCATTCACTTAGAGTATTCCCAGAATAAAAGGTATGCCACCTAGAAAACATGAACTATTGAAAATTTTCAGTTTTTTATGCTCATGGAACCAAAGATTCTTGCTTTGAACTTGAACTGTACACACACACACACACACACACACACACACACACACACACACAGAGACTTATACATAATATCTCTACACCACATAAGCCAACACATTTCCTGTAGGAATTCTCTCTGCTTAGGCTGGTATGTCAGTTTGTTTTTTTTGAATGTCAATAGCCTAATGGGCATTCTCTTGGCTATTCTCATATTGGTCATCTCCCCTTCTCCCATGCAAAGTTGTTAGAGTTCTATCTCCTTTGCTCAATTTACTGGTTCACACTGAATCCTGATTCAGAGTTTCTCATCACGTGATACAAAATAAAAAGTACAAGTAATTTTGCGTAGGAAAGACTAGCACACGTAGTTCTCGTTTATTAGTATTCTTTTAAGGACTTATTGTGCCCATCAAAGTTTATTGGTAGCATATTTAGTATTTAACAATCAGGCATAAGATTCAGAATTTGTCCTTTTAAGCATTTCAGGTAGTCTTTCTTTCTTTCTTTCTTTCTTTTTTGTTAATCCTCATCTGAGAATATTTCATCCATTGATTTTTAGAGAGAGTGGAAGGGAGGAAGGGAGTAGGAGAGAGAGAGAGAGAGAAACTTTGATGTGAGAGAGACACATCAATTGGTTGCTCTCGGGGCTGGGGATCGAACCTGTAACCCAGGTAGGTGCCCTTGACAGGGAATCAAACCCTTGCGTGCACGGGCCGATGCTCTAACCACCAAGCAACACTGGCCAGGGCAGGTATTCTTTTTTTCTTATGGATGTAAGCATGATTTCAAAAGAACTCAGTACATTCCCTTTGTTTGATAACACCATCATCATTATCATCAAAATCCCCATTTGAATAATTCCTGGATTGTTAAATGAATTCCAATTTAGAAAGCATTGTTTGTAGAGGCAGGTGACTTAAGCTCAGAAGGCAGGTGACACCCAGGCCTAGGTAACTTACCTGCTTGCATAAGACTCTACAGGTAAGGTGACAATTTGGATATTTCTGTATTTTTGTTTAAGATCAGCACAAAGTTTTTCTTAAACAGTCGACAGCCTTTCCAACATTCTTCCTGAGTTGGCTTCTCATCTTGTTAAAACCAATATCCAAGATGGCCCTCAGCCCTCAGCCCTCAGCTGTTACCTGAATCCGACTAAAGCCCACCTTCTGGTTTCATTTGACAGCAACACTGGACGAAACTGTGAGAAACAGAAAGGAGTGCTTTGAGCGCCTGCTGGATGGCATCTGCCACTGGGGGCAACTGCCATCACTGCGTTGGCCAGACCTGGTTAGGGAATATTCAGAGATAGAACCGTTACAGTTTCAAGTCTCCGTTATCTGCTTTTCAGCAGTTTTGTAAAGCAACCATTGAATCCTCTCTTCATACTCTTACTAACCATAAAAATTAGACTCCCTATAAAACCGGGACTTCAGGTTATTCCTTGGGCAATTTCAATAGTTTTAATTTAAGTAAATAAACAGCCTTATTCATGATGTCTTGATGGCCTCTGCTATTTTGACTGGAATGATAGATTCCAAGGTTGCCTGAGCTATGACATCTGCAAGGTAAAGTAAGTCTCAATCCTGCCCGGGGTGCAGCAGCATGCTCTCTGGGCCCCTGGACTGTCATGGCGGGTGGCTCTCGGCCCCAGGGAGAGCGACACGATGGGGCTGGTGGGGTCCCGTGGCAGGTAAGCTGGTAGTGGAAAGAGAAAGAAAAGCACCAGAGGGTTGTGAATGATGAGTTTCCCTTCTTGTTTCTGCCAGGTGAGCCCTTTTCTCAGGAGGAAATGGAAGAAATGCTGTCTGCTGCAATTGGCCCAGAATCGAATTTCATTCATTACAGGGACTACATAACCATGATGGTGATAGATGAAAATTAAACACTCTGAAGGCTCACTTTCTAATTGAAAGGATAATTTTTAAAAATTGCTTATCTTTGTTCATTTCACATTATATCTTACAATTCCTTAATATGCTAGTCAATTTCTCATGACAACTATTTCAAGATATTCTATTTTTTAAAAGATGATCATAACAATTTAAAACAAGTTTATTTGATATGTCTTGCATTGTGGGATGACAAATTGCTAATTATTTAAAAACTATTTTTAAAACACTTTAACATTATCCATGATGGTTGTTAATTTTCTGCAATAAAATCTAGGTTACCTTCCAATGAGTTAAGCTGACAAAATGGGAAATGCCTGGAATGACCGTAGGTTTGGCATGTGAAGGTCTGGGGAGGGAGCAGCGTGACCACAAGTGGAAACTGAGTAGCATCGTGATGAAAGCTCCTTTTTAGAACCACACGAAGCACTCCCGCAATCTGAATGTGGAAGCGAGGTATGAAAGTGAACATTAATGATCAATTCCTAATGAATGCCAATTACGGATCTCATTTGAGATGATAATAACTTACTAGTCGTGTAAAAATGTCAATGTGCTGATCCAGCGTGTCACCATGTGCGGAAGAGCTAAAGGAGCCGAGATAATTGAATCCAGAGAAAAGAAGACTGAATAGAATTCGCTCATGTAAGGGAGTGGCAATTATCTCCCCGTCTTTAGAATGCGCACCTCTTCAGACTACCTGTCGTGAGCGTATCGCCCTGATGCTGGGTGGGAGCACTGAGAGATCTCCTGCTGTGCAGGAGGTGCGGCTGTGAAAGGGCAGGGTACAGTTATCGAGCACAAGGAGTCAGAGGAATCGGCGCAGGATTACAGGCAAAGGGAAAATCACGTCAGGAAAATTAAATTCTTCTATAGCCTGTATGTGCTTTCACACACACACACACACACACACACACGCACCTCTATTTAAAGATGCTTCACCACTACATGTGTGTAGATACATATAAGCATTTCATGTTGCCTGTGATCTGCTAGTACCCGAGACTCTCACTGTTCCTTCATTCAGGGAGCAGTCACTGAGCACTACTGGATCCTGTGTCGGAACTGGCGTTGCAAGATGAGTCACAGTTCAGTGAGGGGGCCTGCAGGTCAGCCGGCAGCGCATTCCGAGGGCCACATTCAGGGGCTGTGGACGCACCTCAGAGGGCAGCTGACAGCCTGGCGGGAGCTCACTGGGAGACGAAGGACGGTTGTGAGTAGAGGGCTTCCAGCACCGGTAGCACTGGACTGAACACCAGCCGCCTACTAAGTGGTGGCAGGGCACAGGCCATGTCAGCAGGGGACCCGCAAGCACAGAACCCCCAGACGTGTCATGAAGCATGGAGTGATCTGGGAACTGATGTCTGGTGTGTGTGAGATGTGAAAGTCGTGTGAGAGAGATGAAATTGGAATGGTGAACAGGAGCTGTGTCATTAAGGATATTAGGTTAGCCGTACAGTTGGGTGTTAGTGTTAGAGTTTGGACTGTTTTTTGAAGCTCATAGAGAACGAAAGATTATTTGTAAATAGCACAGAAAGTAGACGTAAAGGGTCAAGACTAGGTGGATGGGAAAAGTCAACATGAGCCCCAGGTCTCTGCTTGGACAGTGGGTGGACTGTAGTGTCATTCACTCAGTAAGAAACCCAAGAAGCCAGGCGGGGTTGGTAGGCAAAGTGATGTTTGGTATGGACATCGTGGGGTTGAGGAGCTAGTGACACACTCCGGGGTGAAATCCAATAATCAGTTGGATTAGGAGGAGGAAAACCTGGCGAGGACATGGGTTTGGGAGTTCCTATGGGTAAACCAGGCTCGGACTTGCTGGGCACAGGACAGCGCTGAGCTATTTGCTGTAAGCCCGTTACCCTGCATGACCCGGTTCTGCCGAAGCAGTAGCCCCAGTCCCTCATGGTCAAATGGTGACGTCATGTTCTTCCAGGCTGTCTCAGGATTGGGTGCCCCCACGTCTCCTTCTAGAACTCTTCAGAAGTTCTGGCTGATGTCAAACTTCACGCCCTGTCTCAGGAAGGAGTCACAAGGGTTAGCTTTATGGAATATGATTAATTTTTCATCTTTAGCACAAATTCGTTGGTTTTTTAAAGGCCATCAAAAAAGTACAACACAGGCGTCCATAGAAATCTCACGTTATCGCCTAGTTGTAGAATAAAGGTAGCATATTTGCACAGGGAACATTTTTCTTTGTACTCAGACCATTTCGGTTCAGATTTTGTCCCTCTCATTCACCTACTCAGCCCTCAAGATCCAGTCTAAGTCAGCATGGCCCTGGCCTAGCAGGAGGTTGCTTGGTGCAGAGTTCTCTTATCCTTGTGACCTGGTTTCTGCAGAGCCCGCTCTGCCCCAGCTCTGGGGCCTTGGGAAGGACAGCTGGCTCCCACACCTCTGGGCAGGGAGCTGCAGGCCTGGCAGCCTGGAGACCCTCACCTCCATCCCCTCACCTCCATCCGGCTTTGCCGGCGACTCACTCTGGGTCAGGTGCTTCCCTCCTGTGCTCCTCCGTCTGGCCCAACTTTAGTCTTTTCCCTCCTCCAGGAGCAGTGCCGATTTAGTCCCCTTTGCGTGCACCCAACGTCCAAGTGGCAAACGCTGAGGGACAGAAAGAATGCGAGAGGGCAGGCTGTGCGATGGTCTCGGGCAGGACCGTCTTCCGTGGAGCGGAGTGGGGTTAGGTCTTCCTCCTTCCTGCTGTCCTCCCTCCCCCCTTCAGAACTGCTTGCTGCCAGCTAAGGACCCGTGTTGGTGCAGCCAGTTCCTTGTAGAATATCAGGGTCACTACACTGCCCCTGAGGGCAGCTCAAATCCGCAGCCAGCGTCCGGGGTGCACATGCCCCGCACGTGCCAGGCGTGGCGGCTGGCTCCGTGGCCTTCGCGTTTCAGGAGCGCGCTTACCAGTCACCTGCTTCAGAGGCACCTGGGTGGGTGGTGGTTAATTCCAGACTCCAGCCCCTAGACCAGTCCGGGGGTGGGGGGGCGGGGGCCAGGAACCCGCGTGTTCCTCAGGGGAGTGTTGTGCGCACAGCAATGTAAGAACACTGACCAGGATGGTAGTATAGGGGGGATTTGGAGCTGGGCTCTGCCACTTACTGGTCAGGCGACTGGCACCGACGCTTAATGCTGCGTCTCTGTGTCTTAATTTGTAAAGTGGAAAGAACACCTACCTTACAGGGCTAGCGTGAAAATTAAATGAGGGGATAAAAGTGGAAGTTCTTTAACATGTGATTATTTGTAGGAAACCAGCCAGGTAAGAAGGGAGGAAGGAGGGAGGGGTGAAGAGGAAGGAAAGGGGAGTGGGGACAGGGAGGGAGAGACGGAGGCGAGGCTCGCTATCTGGGGTGGGCAGGCAGAGGGTGGCAGAGCAGGTAGGTAATAACTACATCTTGGAATGAGGGCGGTGAGCCGCCTGAGGTACTGGTGGGGAGATGCCGGGTTTGCTACCAGGGTGCTGTTAATTACAGACTGTAAAGTCTATTTCTAGAACGCGAAATTAGGAGGTGTTTGTCTTTCTTTTATAAGAAATTGTGCTAAGACACATAGCATAAAATTCATCACCTTAACCACTTTTAAAGGTACAGTTCGGTAGTGCTAAGTGCACTCACATTGGGAATAGGTCTCAGAACGTTTTCATCCTGCACCTCTGAGATGCTGCACCCAGGGAACAAGTCCCCTGCCCCTGCCCCAGCTCCCAGCAGCCACCACCCCACCTGCTCCCGTGAGTCTGGCTTCTCTAGGAACCTCACAAGTGGAATCGACAGTGTTTGCCTTTTGTGACTGGCTTATTTCCCTTTGCACAGTGTCCTCAGGGCTCATCCATGGTGTAGCACGTGACAGGAATTCCTTCCTTTAAAGCTGGGTAATATTCCATTGTTGGCTCGACCACATTTTGTTTACCTATTCGTCATACGTTCGTGGGCATTTGGTTTGCTTTACCTCTTGGCTATTGTGACTAATGCTACTAAGAAGGTGGGAATACATCTTTGAGGCCCTGCTCTCAGTTCTGTTGGATACATACCCAGACGTGAGATCGCTGCATCTTTCTTCTTTTTAAAAAATTGCCTATCAGTCACAGTGCTTTTAGAGCCGCATGAATTATTCACTGCCCCCTGGAGCAAACTCTTATCCATTTGTGGAAATGGTGTTTTGTTTTTCTAAACTCACCAGGTTGAAATGTTGAGGCAACTTGCCATTTAGATGGGAGGTTTGCTGGACTAGCACATCTAAAATTCAGGACAGTTTTACACGAGGGGCTCTGCAGAGCGCTGGGTGGCCCCTGGTACTGCCAGCAAGTCTTTCCTCAGTCAGAAACCTTGAACCAGCTTCTCACCATTGATGACTAAATTCCTGACATTTATTAAAGTATGGATTGAGTATCGCCCTTAAGCACAGCTTAAAAAGTGTCAAGGTTTGTTTGTGTTCTGAATGCTTAGTTTTTAAATGTCCTGCTAAAGGTGTTGGCTCCATTCTAAGCCTGGTCACCAGCTCAAGGTGTGATATTCACTTAGGCAAAAGTAATTATTAGTGACAGTAAAGGTACATATATTTTCCAACTAGTATTCTTGATAATTTACAGTATTTTTTAGTTACTTCTCATCAAATCAAACTAGACTATCATTGTTTTACCTTGTAACATGGCTGACAACGCTCATAGAGTAGAATTGAAGCTCACTTCCACTTACAGTATTAGTAGACTGTTCAAGGTTACTTTGTAGGAAACTTTTTAAATAATATATTTTTTTAATATATATTTTATTGATTTTTTACAGAGAGGAAGGGAAAGGGATAGAGAGTTAGAAACATCGATGTGAGAGAAACATCGATCAGCTGCTTCCTGCTCACCCCCTACTGGGGATGTGCCCGCAACCAAGGTACATGCCCTTGACCAGAATCGAACCTGGG